TAAGGTCTCCAATTTCACGGCACATAAATAAAATGAAGACTTCTCGGGCTGTCAGTAGGGTCCGTACTCATGAAGAACCCGATTTTTCGGAGACAATAAGAGGATACCAAATCAGAAACCAGGAAATTAGACAAGGTCTTAAAGTAAGCGCATTACCACAGAAGTTGGAAAAAATCCCGTTGCAATGGCTTGGTCATGTGCTATGCATGGTTGACAATATTCGTTCGACTAAATATGTCGAATACACGACTACGTGGGCGTAGAGAGAAAGTTCGGAATGTCCAGATCAGAACTGTATTCATGAGGGAAATTAAGAGCAGATTAAATTCTGGAAATGCTTAGTGTCATTCAGTTCAGGACCTTTTGTGTTCTCGCCTTCTATGTGAAAACACAGAGATGGAAATATGTAACACTATATAATTTTGCCAATAGTTTTTATGGCTATGAAACTTCGTCTCTCACATTAAGAGATTAGATAGACTGAGGTTCAGAATTATTGGTTTTTCTACTTTGTCCGTCGTCCGGTATTCTAAAAGCCAGAACACAACATTTCGGTAACTGGATCTATTTCCTTCCTGACGTATGAGGGGAGACACCCACTCCGCTGGGCCACTTAGAAACAGCTAACCTCACTCACTGTTATAACTACAGTTATGTAAATGCCTGAGAACAGGCATTGTCAGTGGGAGATAACAGAAAAATATGGAATTCAAACCGTGATAAAGCATTCACAGACATGAAGAAGATAGTTTCAGGCATATGCGTGCTCTGTCACAATTTTATTCTAAAATTTTCCTGATAAAGCATGCACAGACACGAAGAAGATAGTTTCAGGTATGTGCATGCTTTATCACAACTTTATTCTAAAATTTTCCTGTTATTTCTCACTGACAAAGCCTGGTCTCAGGCATTTACATAACTGTAGTTATACCAGTGAGTGAGGCTAGCTCTTTCTAAGGGACCCAAACGGAGTGGGTGTTCCCCCCCCCCTGACGTGAGGAAAGGAACAGATCCAGTTTCCGAAATGTTATGTTCTTGTTTTTAGAATACCGGGCGATGGACGGAGTTCAAAAACCCAGTAATTTCTAGTGTTGTATACGCCATTATGAGAACCCTTTAAAATAGACTGAAGTTGTTCGGAAGTGGGACACTGAGAAGATTATTTGTACCTTGGGGGGGGGGGTGTTAAATAATAGGAAGTTGGTGAAAATTTTATAATGAGGAGTTTCAGGAGATATACTCTTCGCCGAATATTAGAATTTTCAAGTCTTGGAGGATGAGATTGGCAGGGCATGTAGGACTAAAGGGAGGGGAGTGCACACAAAGTTTTCATAGGAAATCCTGAGGGAGAGAGACCACTAGAAGAATTAGACGTAGATGAGCGTAAAAGTAAAAGTAAAAAAAAAAAAAAAAAA